GAAATTGCGTTGGTGTAGTGAAATCATGACTTCGCCCTTGGGAGGTACTTCATCCAATGAATCGGCAATGGCTCTTATTCTGTGCCATGCACAGAACATTCGATACCTAGAATTCCAAAGGCGTCCATTACCTTACAGGATATCTGCCGTTTTGGGTTTAGAGTGGAGGGAGAATGAAGGCCCCTTTCAGAGCCTTTGGCATCTTAACATGAATGGGGCTGTGCCTTACGGGGATACCGTTATGGTATTGCCCGCCTTGCGGACCTTGGAGATCAGAGTCCGGTCTTTCCGACCATTTTCTACCGCATCAATGTTCGAATACCCATCGGTTATGCCCAAACAACCTGTCCTTCGCCGCATACAACTTACTGGAGCAAACAACATAACCCCTGCAGCGGTTCAGAAGATGGTCAACAACCCGGCAATGAGCAACCTAAGAGAGCTTGTGGTCGTTGGTTGCGGAAAAGGCAGACGTTGGCAGCCTGATGGTATACAAGAAGACGGCTTGGTCGAACTCCTACGAAGTTTAGAGAAGCATACCCCACTCCTGGAGCTACTTCAGTGGTCACATCAGGAGTCAAACAGACCCGAAGGCCACCCCCAGTTCGATACCTTCAGAGATATCAAACACCTCCGTAAACTACACGTCGATTTTGGCCTACTCGTGCCGCACAAAGACACCAAGCTGAAGTGTCTCTCAGATCCGCATGCCGTCATCCCCGCGCATCTGGAACATCTTACATTAGACTGCTTCAACACGGATAAGCTTCACAAGCTCGTGTCTACATTCAACGAAACAGTCGAAAAAGCCGAAGACATGTCCGAGACTGAAGCCCTTCAAGCCAATCTCACCATCCTCGTCGCCCTGTTCTCTCCTCTCAGGCATCTCTCTCTCATTGTACCCATGGAGACTAGAAACGAGTCTATGAACACCGTCACTTTGCACGAGTTGGATCCGGTGGATATTGTATTCTTTCGATATGCGGCGGACGAGTTACACAAGTTGGGTGTCACGTTGGAGGTGTTCAGTAGGAAAGGGGGTTACGAAAAGGAGAAGAAGTTACTAGTTAAAAAAGGATGGACGGCGTCATTGCCGCAGTATCTAGAATGAGGCCTGGAGTATACATCACCTTGAATATAGTGTAATCTTTGAGATGCAGTGTTGTGTATGCAGTAAACAGGGTAGTGCATGTAAGTATTCTTGGACGAGCCTGGAGTGTACATCACTTCGAATATGCTTCGATTGTCGAGATAGAGTGTTATGTATGCAGCAAACAGGGTAGTGCACATGATGATTCTGGGACGAGCCTGGAGTATACATCACCCTGCAGACAGTTTGATCATCAAGATATAACATTGTGTATGCAGCAACCAGAATGACCCACAGGGTATAACAAGACGTAAAGTATACATTAGCTTGAACATAGTTCGATGGTTGAGATATAATAGCGCGTGTGCAGCAAGTAGGAATATGCATGAAATGATCCTGGGACGAGGCCTGGAGCGTACATGAACTTGAAGATACGTCGAATGTCAAGGTACAGCATTGTGTATGCAGCAAGCAAAATGAAGCAAAAAGTAGAATGAGACCTGGAGTATACGTCCTCTCAAAGATAGTTCAGTTGTTAAGATATCGTATTGTGTATGCAGCAAGCAGCATCGCGCACGTCGTGACATGTGCTAACATGTGATGACATGTGCTAACACGTGCTAACACGTGTCAACACGTTTCGCCCCTTCTAATATCTCGACAAAGCAAAGACGATGTTCGTGGAGAAGGGGTGGACGGCGCCGTTGCTGCATTCGGTGGTAAAGGCTGTGCAGAAAAAGGCTGGGGGTTGGTGGAATGATTTCGATGATTCCTAAATTTACAAAGCATGGGTCGGAATGGTGATGGAGATGTAGTTGAGTACTTGACTACCTCTGGAGTATACATTGCCTTTAATGTAGATCAGTTGTTGACATATAGTACATCCTATGTGGCGACCCCATCTGTGTTGTAGTGCCATCCATGTATCACTCCAGGATCGCGCACGTGATGACGCGTTTCGCGTCCACGCTTTCCCCTCCTCTGCACGTGCACTCTCACTAGCGCCTTGCCACGTCACCGCTGCCTGTTGGGCCCATCCTCATCCTTTCATTCCCTCACAGCCACATACATCTGTCGTGTCCTGCAACACCAAGCTACCATCATAGCAGCACCCTCACCAAAAGCCGAGGCTATGATCGACACCCTGCCAAACGAACTGACCTGGTGGGTCATCAGCTACCTGAAACCTCACGATGTGACTCAGCTGGCACGCGCTTCGAAGCGGTATCGCGAGTTCGCGCAGTCTGCGCTCTGGACAAGCATCGAGCTCCACCGCCAAGACGCCCATGACGAATGCTTCACCCTCTCCCACGAGCAGCCTCCCAGAGCCTACCTGACCGACCACACTCCCGACTCATGGTCATATCGCGACCACACCGGACAGGATGCGGAATACGAGCGCAGAAACTAGCAGTTTCGTGCTGCCATCAGGGAGATGTATGCATCCAATGGAAAATCCGAAGCTTGGGGTAGGATCAAGAAATTGACACGACACCTCTGCCTTACGGTCACGCACGAGAGCCCGCCTGAGATCTGGAACATGATACTGTCACCTCCTAATCTCCGTACGATTGAGGTTATTGGCGAGTACTCCGAAGATCCGAAAGGTCCGCCCACAGCTCTAGGCCTCCTCCAGAAACCGGCCGCAACCAAAGTGCAGAATGTACGCCTGAGAGGCTATGTTCCCGTGGAGTTTGTTTCAGCCATCTGCAGGGCTTCAGCGTCTACTATCGTCAGTCTCGATCTCGGCATTCTCGAAGAACCCCAGCTCTTCGAACCAGATGAAGAGGAGGAGACAAACGACTGGAGGACTCGTCGCAGAACTTACTACATACCCTCAGGCGACATGCGCCATTTAGAGGTGAACTGGCCTTCATTAACGAGGCTTACTCATCTCCTACTGTGCAAGCCGGGCCCCTTCGATCTACCGGTCGACATACCAGAAGAAGAGGAAGAGAGGTATTCTGGGATGCTACAAGATCTTGAGAAGGAGGCTGCTGAAATGAAGCAATGGGCGTCTCTCCTGCGGTCTATTCGTCTCACCGCGGTAGAGGTCGTGCTGGAACACCGAGCAATATTGAGGTCCAGCCATGTGATGGATGAGGATGTATCGATCAGAAAGGTACTGGTAGATAGTCCTTTGGATATACGATTTCGCGAGGACGTTGTGGAGAATGTTTTTGCTGAAGGATGGCCAAAACTCAAGACGTTGATATTCAGAGGCATGGGCTCCTCATTGATGGAGCCGGAGGAGTCCATAGAAGAGTTGGTAAAGGACAAGTTGCCTCGGACTTTGTCCAAAAATGTATGTAGATCGTATATGTTTGTCGACACGAGTCAAGGCTCTGCACTGAACTAGGATTCTGCAGATGGACTTGTCCCGCTGCTTTGCCCGCATGAGAACCCTTATGGGGATGGAGAAGAGGTAGATAGGTATCTTTGCTGAGGGTATAGTTAGTTTTCAGAGTCTCTACTATTAATACAATGAAGCTGGTACCATAAGTTGAGGTTAATCAGACCCTATGCAACTACATGTTCTGTGACACACAACGTAGTACCATTCTCAACCAACATGGCGCCGACGGACTGAAAGTGCATCTCGAGTTCGACGGAAAACACGCTCTGGAGGCTCTCTACGACAGTGACAACTTTACTGATGAGGACGATTACGAGTGGAGGAAAACTTCGTTAGACTACTTATACTACCTTTCAACGCGCGACTAAGGGAAATCTGTATTGCGTTGCTGCATACGCAGAGTTCTATGTCCACACATGAGTAGTAGAGAAGATAATGTATACCTCAAATTTATGTATATAGTATATATTCCTCACTTTGACGGTATGTGTAGGCAACTCTGTATTACGCTGCTGCATACATACATAGAACTTTATGTTAATAGATAGAAAGTATAGAAGGTAATGTATACCTTAACGCTATACATGTAGTGTAAGTCTATGGGAGTAAACATCTATGTAGGCATCTTAGTACCGCGTCGCTGCATACACACAGTTGTATGCAGGCAGCTCTGTATCGTTTTGCTGCATACGCAAAGTTCTGTATTAACGGATAGTCACCGTCAAACATGATGTATACCTCAAGTCCCAATATGCAGTTTGGTTTCTTTAATCTAAGCGCCTATGTAGGCGGCAAGCGACACAATCTCTCTGATCATGAACCCTATTCATGTAGACATCAGTACCAAAACCCCCCCTAATTGATCATCTATCTAGCATGCATTCCAATTGATACAGGCTCCTGTATAGACTACCACGTACCCACGCAAGAGTAGCACAAGCGAAGTGAAAGTGAAAGCAACACAGCACTTGCCGCTTGCCAGTGACCGTCAGTGCGTTTCTCCGGCATCGCCCCATGATCAGAACAATAGTGACGGAATGTTACACGTGCTAGCTGGTCCTCACGTTGGGTCTGGTCTTCCAGCAATACCGCAGCCTCTGGAACCCACCTCCACCCATCCACTGCCACGCTCAACAATTCGATCGCGGATTCGCGAGCTTCCAAAGGTCTTCAAGCAACAACGTCTTGCCATACTCACGACTGGTAGTTATACTCTTATGTCTCAGCTACCATCCACGCCTGCGACGCTACCGCGCCCACCGAAGCGCGCGCACGAGGAGGAATTAGTTGGGCCGATCAAACGACAACGTCAACATGGGCTTTGGACGCCGCCGGAAGATTCTAACGACGTCCACGATTGCTACACCCAAACACCCTCGCTTTACATTTCACGACCCCCGTCGTCACCTCTTGTCCATCCTCCGTACTTAAGCCCGCCGCATACTCACCCATCGGTCCCACTAAACCCATGGGGAGTCAACTCAGAATATACGCCTTCCCAGGGCGGCTTATATACTCCCACGTTAGGGTATATACACAGCAACAACCAGCATTATGGTGTCAGCCCCCCGTCACGGCCTCTGATAACTCCACAGATGGGGTTCGGGAATCTATACCAAAGCTATGGATCTCACGTGAACCGACACCCTGCTCGAGTGGTACAGCCTGACTATGCGTGGAGGCTACATGCATCCCAGGCTGCGCATAGTCACGCGCCAAATCACCCCATGGGGCCTACAGCGGGCCAACAGCCTGTACAAGGTGATCAGCATAGGTTTACATCAGGAATACCTATACCTCAGCCTGTCCAAGGTCACCAGCCAAATCACCCCATGGTGCCTATAATGCCCGCGAACTCTCAGCTCAGTCAGCAACAGCAACAGCGTATCCAGCCATTAGTGGGTACACAAGGAGCACACCAATACAGCGCAACTCCAGTCGCAGCCACAAAGGGTACCTCTCACCAGACGGGAGTCGAAGGGCTTCATCGCGGTACCCAAGTCCTCGTTGTGAATGTGCAGACTGCGCGAACGACGCCGCGCACTCAGCAAGAGCAATGGCTCATCAATGCGCATCCAGACCTTCAAGGAAAGACCGTCACGACCGTACCAGCTATTCTCGCCAAGCAAGGCACTCTGGGGGCTATTCCCCATACTCGACATGAATTGCTGGTGCCGCGCGACGTGTGGCGCCTGCGAGCTCTGCCACCACTCCAACGTTATATCGCCTACCACCACATGGTAGAGCTAGGATGTCGGATGAGCCAGTGTGACCAAGCTAGCGAAAAACACCTCAAGCTTTGGAATCGAATCGTGAACGTCCAAACGAGCTTGATGGAGGGAGAGGTGGAGTTGGCGAACAAATTCAAGGAGAACACGGCCGAGACCAGGGCAAGTTGGAGCCAACTCGTGGCAATTCAGACTGTCGAGACACCAGTCAATTGGAAAATGCGGGTGGCCTACAGGAACTATCGCGATCGCGCCATTGCATGTGGGACGCCTGCTGAGGATCTGGCGGTCAAGTCTCAGCCATCCACATCTGGCCAAGTGCTGGAACAGCAGAAGCCAGATACGTGGCAAAAGCCGGTACCGAAGCCTCAGACTTCTATATCTTCTGCGCCTACCGTTACTTCGTCAGTACCGGTAGAGCCCATCAGACCAGACCAGATAACACATCCCCTGGACAAGGTCTCAGTTCCTCCATACCCTGGCGAGCTCGAGGACTTTACGCCGCACGAAGTCACCGGAATGTACAAATGCAACCACCAATGGTTAACCGGGGCCTGCTGCACAGAAGGAGTCACAAAGGATAGGAAGATGGCTTCAATCTCGAGGAATAAATCGACGTGGAAACGACAGGTGGAAGCCTTGGTCAAGAAGGGCGACTTGCATGAGAGCCATATAACATGGAAGAAGGAACAGTCACCCAATAAGAAGGAAGACCAGAAGACGAAGCATGCGGAGAAAGAGCGGCTTCGAGATGAAAAGAACGCGGATGCCAGCGCGGAAAAAGAAGCGAGAAAGGAACAGAGAAAGAAATGGGGAGAAGAGCCACACGATGCGATCGATGCGCAAGAGGCGCCCATAGCTATTGTCGCACCAAACCCGCTCGAGGAGTACCTCTCAACAGCCTCTGAAGAAGTGGCCTAATTGGTCACGCTTCAATGAATATTGGGAGGTCCAACACCTTAAGGCTCAGGGTTTGCAGCTCTCGCCAGAGCAGGTAATCATCTCGAAGGGTGATGAACCGTCTGGTATCCCAGACAGGAACCCCGCGTTTGTGAAGAAGAAGGCTGAGGAGATGGTGCCGGCGCTGGTTCAGGAGCCGGTGGACGATTCGAGCTTAGACGGACTGTTCGAGGATACGGAAGAAAACGTCGAGCAGGATGACACGAGCTTAGATGATTTGTTTGAGGATGATGGCTCAGAGTAGTAGGGGGTACTTCCGGATCCTAGGTAACACTCTTCAGAGTGTCGACGTCAAGAGCCGATACCACAAGGTCTAGCAAGGCCACAGCGACAGCCTTGGTGGCCGAAGACAGTGTCGGATAGATGACAGAATGAAAGCCACCACGCGCATGCAACGTCGCCTGTCATTGCTGGCCTGAAAACAATGTACTCGCATCGTGAAGTAGTAGCTGAAGTATGACTTCATCGTATCGGTGTCTTTCTCACAGCGCTCTTGAAAGGCCCGTGCAATGAATCGCATTGTGCAGGTCCATGCTCAACACCAACTCCATGACGTTCTCAAGTACTAACGATGCCGTTGTACTTGGTGCGTGCACGACGTCACGAAAGGAGAACCTAGTTGTAGTTCTCTTCACTCTGAGAAGAATGCACAGATCTTGGAACCTAGATAGTCAGTTCAGTACTTTTATACAGGCTGCTGGGTCACATTTACCAGTAGACACCCCCGTCTACCTGCACATCCACAAAATCTTGTTACCCATATAACAGGATGCAGTCTTACGCGCACAACAAGGGCAACTATGTCTACGTCCGCCGCAAGCGCACAAGATCGGTCGAAGTCCGCCGCGCAGATGATCTCCACCGCCACTCCCTATCCTCTTTATCATCCGAGGAACGCATCTTGCATTACGTTGGCGATGAGCGTAACCGCGTCTGCCGCTGTCACGATGCGGGACGACATGGCGAGAGGACGTCCACTGTAGCATGCGAATCAAGGCATCTGAGCGCCAGCATAATGCTATATCTCGACCGCCATGGCCTTGAATCCTGCAGCTTCGCCGACTTCCGGAAGTATCGCGCAAGCCGAGAAGCGAAATGGGCCATGGAAGGCGTATTTGTTGAAGACTTTCACTATACCAGCCGTAACAAAGACTTCGTATGTCGTTGCTCACAACCAAGGAAGCATAGCTACCAGACGCCGCGCCATCCTGAGATCGTCGAGCAATGTGCGGAGTTCTTTTGTATGAACAAGGATAAGAACACTGTTACGAAAGACCAGTGGAAGGGCGTGAATGGCGATGAGCCACCGGCGTACACACCCAGTGTAGACTTGTTATCCGGTTCCATGACATCCATGTCTGTAACGTCCAGTTCCGTGCTTGATTCGCGGCCAAGCTCGTCCGGACATGCTGGGGAGAAGTCTAGGCCACGAGCCTCGCTAGAGACGAGGATACGTGACACTGCCGAGCGTATATCTTCGATCATCCCAGGCCGTCATCGTAGTGCTTCGATTCCAGCACGGGAGCCGGAGATGCCTCCTCAAGTATGGCAGAAGGGTCGTCCATCGGTCTTGATATCTCAACACGGTAACTCTTCGCGTGATAGCACGCCCATGGGCTCGGCTCCCCCATCTACGCGCGCAGCCTCACCAGCCGTGCCGCACACGCGCCATCATCGGGTCGATTCTGTTCACGATACGTCTTCGATCTATGCAGATGCCCAGGCCACGATGGGCATGTTTCCCGGAATCCAGACAGATGCAAGTGTAGCAAGGGCTAGAGATATGCTGGGTGTGACTGGTCCGTACACGAACAATACGTACCTTCCCACATCCACTAACCTATCTGTAGTGAGCGGGCAGTCCAGTGTTGGAACCATTAAGAGCGAAAGGTCGCCACCGTTTGCCTATGACGAATGGTACCAGGGCAACCCACCTAAGTGGGTGGTTGAGAAGGACAGCGAAGAGCTACTACCGTCGACTTTCTACGTGAACGGCGATAGGGCGGATTCTTTCGGTTTCGATGCGCCAGCGACTCATAGACCAGTGGCAGAGCTTCCTGCGCGTAGATCGCCGGTCGAACTTCCCACTCGCAGGTCGCCTGTCGAACTTTCAGGTAAGCCACCACACCAACGGCATACTGCAACGCTAAAGAAGCTTGAAGGTCGAACTTGGGATACGAGGTCGGAGTTGGAGGCCAAGGCCAAACGCTTCAGCGTTCGGTGTACGGAACCACCCCCTAGTACGTCCAATCCTGCACACGAGACCGACCGATTAAGCTCACGTTTCCACAAGGCTTCCGACATAATCCCGTCTTCACTTCCTGATCAGGTGGATTTCCTTGAGCGGTGTGCTGTGCCGAATTCTTGGAAAGACCCTGCACCTACTGGGAATTGTCAGTTGTGCTTCAAGTCTTACCATGACGCAGACAAGAATCCTGTCATAGCACCTCCCTGCGGTTGCTCCATGCATGATCGATGTCTCATGGACAATCTGCGTACGCTTGATGAGAAGGTCGGCAGGTGCCCAATATGCCAGGTGTACTTGTGCAACCGTAGTCTAGCCGAGCGCATCGGCAATGACATCGAACAGATCTTTGAGTTGCAAGTCAATCCATTACGAGAGGAGGTCACCCTCGAATTCCCACAGCGAAGCAAGGGCATAATATGTAGTACGGAGGAGGGCGTTGCTGTCACGCAGCTTCGTCTACTCAAAGACTACGTCGATGTCCATGCCGAAGAGCTCTTTCGTCTATGGGAAGGTAATCGTGCAGAACCCGACTGGTTTGGAGGCGTGGTACGTCCCGCCGTCCAACTCTTCCAAGGGTGGAACCCCGCTATGCGAAGCCGGTTTCTCTCAAATGAGGACGCTTTCCTCAAACTCCTCGCATGGGCGGAGCTGGTGCGCCTGATGAACATCAGCTGTGTGAAGAAGAAACAATCCGGGGCGAGCGATGCACAGTTCCCACGATTGGGAGAGTTGCATCGTAAGTTTTTGAAGGCCGTGGAGCGATACAACAAAGAGAAAATGGCCTGGGATGCGAGTCGCTCTGGTGTTTATGAACATGGCAGGATCGCGACGGATGTTGTCGACGTCGCGATGAACACTCAGGTGCCGTAGATGATCATATAAATACTACAAATGTAATTAGTTCGCATTCATCGAAGTCTCACATAGGCATGTATCGGGAAGTACATACGCATCGTGGTCCATTTAACAGCTGCACGATCCTCATCCCGGCTGGTGTGCCCTGCGGCACGCATAACACGTTCGCGACGCGCAATTTAATCAATACAGACTCGACAGGACGTGCGAATATGACGATCCGTAGTATCAAGGGTTGGTTGCGCCTCGGCACCGACTGAAGACGTGATAGATGAAACAAGACGCGAGGCGAACCCTGGAGGAGCTGGGTGAAAGCGCGGCGGTCCGTGCACGGATGAGCTCCACCACGTCAGGTGCAACGATTGTCCACAAACATCGAGCTGCGCTCTGCCCAAAACCAATGCGATACTAGATGCCACTCCCAAATTATTTCACCCGGTAGTGTTGTGTAGGAATCCTGGATAGGCCTCATGTTGAAGGGCAGAGTCATGACGTCATACCCACTTGTCCTCTCGGACTTCTTCACACACGAACCTGAGCGCATCGCTACTCCCACAGCTTTCGTGCCTCCAAGATGGACGACTAATTCGTCCTGGAGCCACCTTCGTCAACGCTAGATGCGAGCGCACGCGTAACTTCATCCACATGAGTACCGGACGCCCCTTGCCATATCACTCGTCCGCACAATAGACCTGCAATGATGTGCACTCAGCTTATGACCACCCGAGTCTGAGAAGAGCGACGATGCACTCACAACCTTGGAAGCATCAATCTCACATTGCTTTCGGCAGTCGTTCGTGAGAGCACTACATGGACCAATCTCGACGTCGACCAAGCCTCCGGCTATTCTCCCAAGGACAAAAGGCACTGGCTATAGCACGGCCACCGTATACCCTGCCGGATTAATTACTTCCAAACGTCCGCCCGCTGAACGACTGACTCCCCACATCATTTGCGCTCGTCGCATTGACAAAGCAGCCGCCTCTGCTGAGATTGGGAATTAATTTGCAGTACGCAATATGACCGGAATGCTTAATTCGAAATGCCAGATGAACTGTTCAAATACCGGTTGTCAGCCGCATTGTGACAACGCCATCCCAGTTGATTGAAACTTTATTTCTTGCCATGATGTTTTACACATCACTTCTTTCGGTCGCGTTTGCGACGATTTCTTTAGTTTCGCCTACTGTAAATGGGCGTGCAATTGACGCTGTTGAGAGGAGACAGGATGGCGAGCATTGGATCAACACCTGGACGAGCATGCCGCAGTTGGTGGAAGCGAGCAACATGCCGCCAGCGCCGTTTGTATGTGATCCGAACTGTCCAAGGTTGAACTCCAGGAATTCTAACATGATCACAGAGTTCAGGAAGCGTAATGCGCGATGCGACACTCCGGCAAACCCTCCACATGTCCGTTGGCGCACCGAAGATCAAGATCACCATTTCCAACACTTTCGGCGGTTCCGATCTTCCCATCACCGCAGGCTCTGTCGGCCTTCCTGCTGGCGGCGCTGCAGGCGTCAGTGGTATGCAAGCTTCACCCCTAGCAGCCATTACCGTTGGTGGCAAGTCTAGCTTCACGGTACCCAAGGGTCAAGTCGTTACCAGCGACGAGATTGCCTTCGAAGTGAAGCCCCAAAGCATGCTCACCGTGAGCTTGTACAGCCAACAAGGGCAAAGCGGAAGCAGCATCACTGGTCACCCAGGCAGCAGGACTACCAGCTGGTTCGTGAGCGGCAACAAGGTGAATGCTACCACTTTCTCCGGCACTCAAAGCGTGCACTGGTACTTCGTCAGTGCCGTACAAGCCTACGTACCAACCACTACGCGCTCTCTGATGGTCCTCGGTGACAGCATCACCGACGGAAGAGGTTCAGACGACAACAAGAACAACCGGTAAGCACTACTCAACCCCGCAAGACTATCTCCCGTCTAATACCACCACAGCTGGCCCGACCTCGTACTCGCCCGTCTCCAATCCACGAACCACACCAACATTGCCGTCTGCAACCAAGCCGCCGGCGGCAACACCGTTCTAAGCGGCGGCCTCGGCCCACCCCTCCTAACCCGGTACAAGCGCGATGCCATCGAGCAACCCGGCGTGAAATGGGTCATGGTCTTCGAAGGCGTCAATGACATTGGCGGTAATGCCAACACTGCTGCTGCGCAAACTTCTGTCGGCGACCGCCTCATCGCTGCGTTCAAGCAGATTGCTGCTGATGCGAAGACGGCTGGTTACACGACGATCGGTGGTACGATTGCGCCTTTTGCGGGTAATGGGTATGCAGGTGTTGAGAGGGAGAAGACGAGGAAGAGGGTGAATAAGTGGATTCTGGAGAGTGGGAACTATGATCATGCCGTCGACATTGCGAGCATGGTTGCGGATAAGGCCAATGCAGAGAGGTTGGACAAGAGGTATGATAGTGGTGATGGATTGCATCCGAGTGTTGCGGGGTATCAGGCGATTGCTGATGCCTTTCCTATTGAGATCTTCAAGAAGTGAAGGTTGATACCGGAGAAGGCTCGGTTTGGAATACGTCGTTCCTCAGTATCACTCAATCGATGGAGTGCTATTCAAGTCATAGAAATACGGCTCGTTCGCCGCTGACATCTTCACTTCTTGATTTCCCATGCAAAGCTCCCATACTTGTATCTCAGTCATGCAACCACACCCGAAAAGTGGCCAGCAGCTACACCCAATCAGTCATCAATTGTTCGCCACGGAGTCCTGGTACCGGCGTCTTTTGTCCAGCCAATGCTGTAAATGCGGATGCTTGCTCACTATTTGCTCCAGAAAATCCAAATCTTTCTTTGAGCCCTCGCCTTTGATGATGATGAGGCTACAATCCATGAGACTTTGAAGCTCTTCGAATGCCCAATAAAGGAAGTACATTCTGCAGACCGAGCGTCCCTCTGCGCTCAGGGACTCGCGCTGTGGCGTCGTGCGCATCGCGAGATTCAGTTTCTGGTCGTTCTCATAACAACTTAGTTTCTGGTCCTTCTCATAATAACATGTATACTCTATGTAGTCATCGTCACACTTGGTAGCAAGGTCTCGAGATGTTTCACCGTCAGCGCTTTCAGCTTCAATATCCACCAGAGTAATGCCTTGTAGTAGTATGGATAAGATCCTGGGTCTGCTATCATCGTGGCGTTGCATTTGGCTACAAAGCCAGTGCAGTGCGTTTTGTCCAGACTGATCATATGAGCGCGCATTAGCACCTTTGCGGAGAAGGTAATCGACTAAGTTGAAATTCCCCATTTCGCAGGCGAGATGTAGCGGGGTTGCTCCAGTGGATGTTCGGATGTCGACAGCTGCCCCGAACAGTTCTATGAGTGCGCTAACAGTGTTCCAAGCCCCCTCTCCGGAGTCCTCCTCATCATCGAAACCGTCATTGTTTGGGTAGAACCTCGGTGGATTGAAGGATTGTTTGCCAACATACAGAGCAGACTCCTCACATGTGGCAATATGCAGAGCAGATTCTCCATTATCGTCCAGAATGTCGGGATCAAAGTCATCGAAAGACTTGAACGACTCGCTCAAAGTCTTCCAAGAACGCCGTGGATACTCGAGATAAAAGGTTCCGATCTCGTGGAGGACGGTACGACCATCTTCGTCGGTGTCGTTGATCGATCCATCTTCCTGCAAAAAGCGAGCGAGTATGACAGGTAGTGCAGTAAGGTTCCTATGGGTCGCAGCAATACGAACAGGAGTTCCACTGCGATTACCAACCCCGAGTTTTGGAAATTCGTTGTTAGCTCGACCCAAAATTTCGGGCCTTCTGAACTCGGAAGATGACTCGATACATGTTTGTGCACCGTGATGAATAAGAAGTTTAATAACGTCGAGTCGATTGTATCCAGCAGCAATATGTAATGGTGTTTCTCGGTTAAAGTCTCGAAGGTTTCGATCGGCACCATGAAGCAGCAACCAAGTCATCATCTCCACCTGGCAGCGCAGTGTGGCATAAAACAATAACGTTCGCCCACTGCCATCTTGGGCATTAATGTTAGCATCTTGCTTTGTGTGAAGATAATCGAGTATGCTGATCAGACCCCCCAAGGCTGCCAGATGAGCGACAGTGACTCCCTTCCGAGGCTTGTGGCCGTACATTGCAAAACATGTGTGCTGCAACCATGGGGCATGGTACTCTTCGGCTGGGTCCAGTAGCTGATGATAATTTTTGATAAGGCTTACGTCTCCAATTCGTAGCAAGTGTTCAACGCCATAAGTAAGTGCGTACTTGAAAAGAGGGTACTCCTTCTTCTGGAACTGGTCCCTGTATTCGAACGGGGTGACATCACCTCCAGTAAGAGGTAGACTGCGAAAAGTATACAGCGTGTAATCGAATAGGCGGTGGGCTACGTGATTATGTGTAGCTAGCTCCTGGAAAATAAAGCACTCCAGACTGACATCAGATTGATGGATGGACCGGAAGAAGTCCAGAATCGATGAGTGTATTGGACGCACGACCTGATTGCCCGTGCTTACATTTCGTTCCATCGTCAACAAGTCTCCTGCATAGGCGACCTCATCAGTGATGGCATCTTCCATGCTTTGACCTTTCGCTGGGCTTGTGTTCACGGCAATAGCAAGCTCTTGAAGGTTCAGTGGACGGAATGCGACTATCATCCATCCCAGGATTTCTATAACTCTTGCGCGTTCATGATCTGTGATTGCCAGCAGCATATGAAGATACATGGCGTCGAGACCGTGTGGAATGAGTTGACTGTCTTTTCCATGTCTATCACTCGCACCTTCTTCAAGGCATTGACTGCAAAGCCAACCCATAAGAAGGTGCCTTCTGATCGATTGCACAATTCCTTCCTGATGTATTCGCGTGTTTCGCTTGGACATCGCAGACTGGACATACGATCGTCAACGAATTTGGAGATGTCGGATCCAACATGTGGCTTGTTGTCGGGTTCAAGAAGCAGTCGAGGAAACTTATCCATTGCTTGCTCGATCGAGTATGGGTGGTTGCGGCTGACAACGAGAAGCTTCAAGGAGTGAGAAGGGCGTTCGGATTTCTGTTGAGAGTCGGTTTCGTACAGGCTTTGGATCTTGAGCCAGAAGTCTTCCAGACCATCTTCGTCGCACTCGTCTAAGCCGTCAAGAATGCATATAATGGGGTTGATATTCTGGTCGTACAATATCCTAGCGAAGATAGTCCAGAGGGCTTGGAACTTTCTGTCATCGAAGAGACTAGCTCCGTGCTTGTCATAGTCATCCAAGATATGCTCGAAAAGCGATGGACGTTGAGAGAGCAGTTGATAGATAAGGCCGCGGAGAATAGAAGCACCATTGTTCCTTCCGTGGTCTCGACTGCAGAAGAAGTGGACGACATGTGCAGCTGAAGGGTCGCCTTTCAGGCTACTGACGAGATGAAGGGCGAGCATAGTCTTCCCCTTACCGGCATCTCCAGAAATCCAGAGGAGATCGGGGGACTGGGCGATCCAGCTCTTGTATGCGGTGGTTTTCGATACCCACTCACAGGTGCCCAGTGTTCTCGGTCCTTTGCGGTCTTCGAGCATCTGCCGATAGTCGTCTAGATCATCCCCCAAAGCTGCCAGAAGGTCTCTCAGACATGATCTGCGCGCGGAATCCTGCTGTGTAGCGGTGTGAAAATGGTTGATATTACCAACCTGTGAGCCGTCTCCAGTGACGATAGATCCTTGGTTGAGCGTAGATCCATGGGTATTGTCCCCAATGAAGGTGGGTGAAGCATTGTCGCTCATCCTTGGCTACTCGTCGTGTCTTGAGCATCTAGTGCCAGACATCCCGTTCTCTAATGAGTCGAAAGGTTATGAGTTTGCTGTCGACAAACTCGCATCGCGTGGTACTGCGCTGTCCCGTCTTGGCTCATATAATCGTGCATGTTTCCGCAAACTTCCTTCCTCGCGAGCTTTGTCATCGCGGGGCTGACGATGCCCGACAATCGAGATGGGACCTTTCAGAAGCTCTTGTGTTGACGATACTTCTCTTTTCGAGAGGACCTGATTGGATGGGTACATATGTATTTCGGAAGTTGTGAGTCGCTCGTCTTCGCGTCACCGCAGGGACCTTTCAGAAACATCACCACTAGATCTTGAAGTCCTCGGCACCCTCCTCGGTATCCGCCTTCTTCCAGAGCTCATTCCCCCCAGCAACTCCAGTTTCATCAATACCCCAAGAGTCATTTTCGACTTGCTCCCACCAGTTGATCAGGATAGCAGTCAACGGCGTTCCCCAGCCAGACACAAAGGGATTACCTACGCCGCGATGATACAACACATCCTGACGCGGCTCATATGCCTTCACTTTGGTATCATCCCCTCGCAGAACATGACCGTCACTCCCGAGAGGAAATGGAAGCAGTAACGTGCCACAATACGAGTAGAAGTCGTCGGGCTGAATGTATAGTCCTCCGCGATTGTCCAAGATGTTGGATCCCCGTTTAGACTTCCAATTCTCCTGGTCGCGTTCGGAAACGAGCTCGATGCCTGATGTGCGCCACGGGAAGAGCAGAAACAGATAACTCTCGGATATCTCGTGTTGCGGTCCTTCGAGAGTAGCATCGGGGTGTCTGTTTTGCATCTCCGCTCCTACGCGATGGATGAATTCCTCATCAGGCACGTCGAGCTGCGGTGCGATAGATTTGAATGGAGGTTTCTTAGCTCTTGAGAGGAAGGTGCGCACGAACGGCGGGATGGCTGGGTACTCGTTTAAAACCTCAATAGAGATTAGCCCTTCTTCTTCTTTCCTCCTTTTCTTGCGTTGCGGTTCTTCGTCCACTGTCTGGTCTCCATCCTCCTTCTTTTCCTTTCGCGTGTCAGATGCAGGCAGCCTCTTCGCAATCGCATCAACCAATTTACCCCACACATCCAGCACCTGCTCCATCTCTTTCTCCGTACACAGCTCAACTCTCCACCCCTGCGTCGCAAGATTATCAGGTTCGCCGAACCCAGGGTTCTGCGCATCTATAACAAACTTGCCAGATTCGACGCAGTCCCAATAGAGTTGTAGAACTTCATCAAGATCAGCCCACGGAAGCTTCATCTCATCGGGTTCATAGGGTGAGGTAAATGCGTCTTCCAAGTAGGTAACCTGCTGCGTTTCTAGATTGTAAACCAGCCCAGCTGGATCATACCCCGTGTTCTGGTACAACACGATGAGATCAGCGTGGTCGTCAGAGTCTTCCCATGATTGGGTTCTTAAACCGTAACGACCGTGAGGGTTGACAAGTCCGACGAGGACTGGGTTGAAAGCTAGATGGTTACTGGCTTCGTTGGGTACGACTAGATCGATGCCAGATAGAAATTCTGTGAGTTCATCGTCAAGATCGAAATCGAAGCCTGGGGAATCTGGGTCTAGTGAGTGCGTGGTGAACCAATTGCGCTGGATGGTGGGTTGGTGTTCAGGTGGAAGGTGCGAGCGGGCATGGGCGACAATGCGATTGTGCAACTCGATGGACTTTGCGACGTCCCAACTCATGCTGGAAGTGATGGCAGAGGAAAAAGGAAGAGGTTGTATCCAAGATACCATAGAAGTAGCTGCAGTCGGATCACCGCAAGACGAGCCGAACAAAAGAAGTCAAAGGTTTCCAGGCAGAAGCTTGCGCGAGTGTCGAGGGAGTCGGGTAGCCGAAAACGCACAGATGTCATGGCGCTTTAGGAAGCCGCCACTGTCTAGTCCCGATCATGAGGACGGGAAGTCGCGAAAAGTACATAGACTGGTATTGAAGTACACACGCTGCAGAAACGAACCAGGCTTCCCTATCATACCCATGCCACACCACATCATCACTCCTCCATCTTCTCCCCACCAACCACCCCCGCATTCCCCTCCCCCAAATGCTTCAACAACCAACTCCTCTTAAAATACGTATTCGGATGCACAATCGTATCCAAATCATTACTACTCCAGCTCCCCTCCTCCTTAACCTTCTTAATCTCCTTCTTGTGACTCCACTCAAACACTCTATTACACGCAACATGATACCTCTGTTTCCCCACATCCTCCTTAACCGTCTTGAGCACATCCCTATCATTGACACCAACGCGCTGCAACATCGTGAGCAGGTTTTCCGGGGTGAATGTGCGGTAGGGGCAGCCGTGCGATTGACCAGCACCAGGCAGGGCCTCAGTGAGGAGCTTCTGGCAGGAATACGGTGTGTAGCCGCGGCCGCGACGGTTTGCGTCGCCGCCTACGTCGCCATAGGCGTGGCGGATGTTGTATTTGTATTCTTTTTGGAATTTCTCGTCGGTGATGAGCTTGAAGCTGCGGCGCCAGAAGACGAGGCATTCGTCGAGGCTGAGGCCGATGCCTTTGAGGAAGAGGGTGTATTGTAGACGCCCGAAGTGCTTGAGATGCGAGTCGTCGCGCAGTCTGTTGTGCAGGTTGCGCATGCAGAGGGGGAAGTGTTGGGAGAGTGTGTCGATGCTGTTTGCGGTGATGGTGGAGAGACCGTCGATGTTGGCGTCGGAGGTGGAGTAGGCGGCGTCGGGGGTTGTGAAGGATTGGGAGAGGTGGGCGAGGATGGGGGCGAGGCGGTCGTCTTCGTCGAGGCGGGGGAGGGCGCGGGCTGTTAGCTACACGTTTGTTAGTGATGCCTCCCGTGATGTGTATAGCGGAGTCCATACCTCTAGTGCCTCGTCCAGCTTCTTCGTAAACTCAGCAACCACCAGACTCATCTGTTCTCGTTGCGGAACATACGCCATTCCCCTCTTCAAGAGTACCTTCCGTTGCGCAACAAGTTCAGGCACCCTCTCCCAATCAACCTTGAACCACTCCTGGTCCTCAGTCTTCTTGATACCACTCGCCGCATGCAACTCATCCCTCAGCTCCCGCTTCTCATCTTCCTTGACCTCTGTCCAATCCAGATTAAGACTGTTGACAAATTGTTGCCGCTCCCGCAGATCATCATCCTTGAACCGCAGCGTAAACAGCATAGTCTCTAGCCGCGAAAACCGCCGTCGCAGGTCCTCTGTTGACGAAAACGCAAGGCGCAGTATGAAGTGTGAATAGTGGTCTCTCCTCCGCTCTTCTTGTAGTTTCTGACTTCGTGACGAGTCCGATCGCAGTGGTAGGTATTTCTCCAGTATGCTCTTCATGTACTCGGCGGTCTCTTCGGGGCCTTTGTTGCGGAAACTGCATGCTTCGAGTTCGGAAAGGACTGCATCGCACGCTGTTAGCGACATCAGGCAGTCATCATGAGAAGTGCATACCCTTCAGCCTGTTGATTGCCCATGTCTCAAACTCTTCCAGTGTAATCTCTGCGGTGGGTGGCAGCGTGTAGAAGTTCAGTCGGTGGTCATAGTTCTGCTGCTGGAACTCTGCTTTCTTGAATTGTTGCCTCTTAGGATCGATTTGCGCGCGTCGCTTGGGGTCAACTCGAGAGTAGTCGTGGCGGATCATGATGTTGAGGTTTCTTGCGTTGTTCGGCGGCTTGCACGTCTCCACGGTTGATGGGGGTGTTAAAGTGGCAGGCGCGTTCGCGTGCACGCGTAAAGCACGCTAGCCACATGTAGCGCACGCGCTGTCCGCGTGTCTGATTGGGTCATCATCGCTTGCCATGTTCCCAGACCCAGCGGTTCAGAATGGCATGCGAGTCTTAGCATCGTTTCCCTGTATTCTATACCGAACCCTATCTATGCCCTTGCAACCCTGCTTCTAAGTGCAGCCCTGCTCTCATCACATCATTGCTCAGCCCATGAGGTCACCCAGCGCATTCACATAAGCCATCGGAACAGTTGTCGCACCCTCAGCCAGGAAGTCCTCCTTCTTGCTAACGCCGGTAAGCACAGCCAGAGTCCCGCCCAGCTTTCCGTCGATACCGAACTGGATATCTGTGTTCAATCTGTCGCCCACCATGCATGTTCTGCTTCGGTCGAACTTGAACTTGCCTTCTATCGCGTCCATCATCGCCTGACTCGGCTTACCCAAAGACAACGGGGCTCTACCAATCGCTCTCTCAAGCGCAGCTCCTGATGCGCCAGCACCGGGGAACAGAGAATGCGCATTTGGCAGTGTGCTGTCGATGTTGGTCGCGAGATATACCGCGCCACGTTGTAGGTACTGGAACGCGATTGCCGTCTTCAAGTAGTTGGAGTGAAAGTCCAGACCACTCAGCACGACGCCGACATCTGGATCGAGCAGGCTGCCATTTGCAATAGCCTCGAAGTCCTCTGGCTGCCGGAACTCGCGCCGGTAGGCAGGGTCTGTACCACCAATGTATGGGACACCTTCAGCTTCGAGCTCCTGTTCTACGCCCGACTCTCCTAGCACGAATACCTTGTTCTTCGGCGCGGGGAGCTTGAGGATGCGAGCGATGTATACGGCGGCGCTGTAGGACGATCCGAAGACTTCTTCCTGATAACGTGTCAGCCAATGGTCATACTCTGGGCTCCTGCTTACTTACCACCTGGGCGGGGATACCCAGTTTTTCGAACTTCTTCTTGTAGTCCGCGCGCGACTTGGTGCTGTTGTTCGTGACAAAGACGAGTTGTTTGCCTGGGGTCAGTCAGTTGGAATGTCATAATGCTGCGTGCCAAGTGAGTGTCTTACCTTTACTCCTCAGCATCTCGAGAGTTTCTGGGACCCTCTCGTATAGGTGATCGCCGGACCAAAGGACGCCTATCCTTCGTCACAATCAGTAGATGGCCACAGGTACTATAGCGATCGCAGGCAAGAGACATGGTTGTATGAACAAGGCTGGCGCATACCATCGCAGTCGAAGAGGAAGACCTGAGCATCTCGTCAGTGAAGCGTCTGGCAACCGGAGATTCTAGGCGCATACATCAAACTTGTCCAGGAACTCGTCTATGGCGTTCTTGTCGCCAGACAGGAATTGAGGTTTTGCCATAATGCCGATTGTCTCGTTACAGTTCCCGCGTCAGTAAACACGGATGAAAGATGACACTGGTGGGGTGCTTGGCGTGGACCCTGAAATCCAGCGGAACGATACCGACGGATTCCGAAGTCCACAAGGTACTCATCACACAACCTCCCATTGATTTGTTCAGCATTTCACGCTTCAATTCGATCATTCATGCTATGTTTTATTGTGACACTATGTTCATTATAGCTTCGATCGATCGAGTCAGTCCACGATAATCTTCTTCTCAAGCTCCTCGAAGTTCTCAAAGAAGCTGTCGAAGAGGTTTACGGCGTGCTCAACATCATGCGCACCACCAGTCTCACGGATGCTGTGCATACTGAGTTGAGGGTTACCGAGATCAAGAGTACGCGCGCCCATGGCCGCCGACAGCATAGGCCCGATGGTGCTTCCACACGACGAGTCGTTACGAACAACGAAGAGCTGGAGCGGAACACCCTCCTTTCCTGACTTCGGGTTGTAAGAAGCCGCTTTGGCACGGCGGGCTGCTTCTTGGAGCAGAACGATACCTGGTGAGTTGGTGGCGTAACGCGCGTTGGCGTTAATCTTGATGACAGTTCCCTTGTTCATCTCAGGCCTGTGCTGAGCCTCGTACTTGGCTGGGTAGTTGGGGTGTACGGAGTGTGCCATATCGGCAGAGATCAAGAAAGAAGTGGCGAGCGTTTGCTCGTAGGCGGTAGCAGTGTCTGCCTCGACCTTGTCATACGATGCATCGGAGTTGCTCTCGGACGCTGGCAATACCGAGAGACGGCGAATGACAGCAGGTAGCAGATTGGAGTCTGCTCCCTGTGCTGTTTGGGAGCCAATCTCCTCGTGATCGAAGCATGCGATCAATCGGATAGTCGAATCCTTCTCCAGTGCTGACGAGTCGGACAAACTCTTGAGAAGACCCTCCACGCTGCAATACGTCATCATCAGATTGTCCAGTCGTGGAGAGAAGATCAGCTCGTTGTTCAGACCGCCAATGACTGACTTCTGCGTATCGTACAGGACCATCTCGAAGTCTACGATGTCGCTCGGTTCAGCCCCGGCCTCCTCAGCGATGATATCGATTATGTACGGGTGGTGTCTCGCGGTCGGCGCTGCGAGGGGGCCTTCAGTCTCCGCGTCGTTGCTTTCCTCCTTGGACTCTTCGCCCTTGCCTTGACGGTTCAGCTCTGCAGCGACTAGACCGGCAATGGGAAACAACTGGGTCTCCTTGTTGAACTGGAAGTTCTCCTGGCGATCCAGGTGGATAGCCAAGGTAGGTATCCGCAGGATTGGTCGCTCGACCTTGACTAGACGTTGCTCGATGTTGCCGTCCTTTGTGCGCACCATGGCGCGACCTGCAATGCTGAGGTCGCGGTCAAACCAGGTATGCCATAGTCCACCACCATATGTCTCGCAGGCTACTTGGATGAAGCCGTCGCCTGTTCGCTTGGATACAGGCTTGATGCGCAGGCAGGGAGAGTCGGTGTGGGCGCCGATCATGGCAATGGGGTTGCCCGCCTTCCATTTGTTGCCGATAGCGAATGCGACGATGGAGGATGTGTTACGGGTGAGGTAGTATTTGCCTCCGGGATGCAGGGTGGGTGCCCATGAGTCGCGCTCCTGGTTA